AATTCCTGATTGGCTGGTGTGTTAAAGCCCAATAATGACTGGCCTTGCAAACTGGAAGCACTCGCTCTGCGACATGGGGCAACCTGAGGCAACTTTGGGCTCATGTGATGACCAAGATTTTGATTAAAGGTTCACAAGCATCACAGAATATTTTTAGTTCTGATCTAGTGCGGGAAACACAGCTGTAGATGCATCGTGAGGCATTATAAAGCAGATGGTACAAAGGGCACTTGAGGCTATCTTCTGCACCCTGAGCAGGTTAACAACAGCAGACCGTCCAGGAAACCAAATGAACTTATTCAGTGGAAATTAGTAGAAAAACAGTAAAACGTGGCAACATAATCTCAACTAATAGAAAACAGACGTAACAAGCAACAGGTGGAGGCAACAGGCTGCTTCTCCTCTTCTGCAGCGTTGGACTCCATATGGTGTTGAGTCAGACCTGCCTACATGCTGGTTCAATTATAATGTGGAATATAGTCCTCTGTTTCCAAACAGCTTGCAGGATTGGTTTCATCTTCTGACAGTCGGAGCAAAGCTTGCATGAACTGGGAGATTTTCCTACAATTTTTCATCAAAACATCACCTTTACGCTCATTTTTCGCTGCATATTTTTATTTTTGGACTCTGTTAGAGTAGCTTTACATGAGTCACAGCTCAAAATAATCTCTATTGTTACACTGATCCTTGGTGGAGTCATTCCGTTTATCCACATAGCTAAAATGTTCCTCAGTACTGTGAAACTGAAATATTTCAACAGAAAGGTGTTTAGTGTCTGCATTAAAAGACTGCTTCAATGGAGTGCTTAAGAAAATGGAGCCACAACATATCACAACAACAGCTGTGATATGGCAATTATTACTGTAAGGTACAGACCCTACAATACTAGAGTCTCTCTAGTATTGTAGGGTCTGTACCTTACAATTAGACAACAATTAGACAACCCCCTATGAGCAAGCATTTGGCAACAGTGGGAAGGAATAACTCCCCTTTTACCCCACCCCCCCTTTTTAAAGAAATCTGAACTCTTTTGTTGTGTAGCACATATACACAACAAAAGAGTTTTTGTGGAAAATCCATCCTCAACAAAAGACTAAGCACTGTAAAGAAAATGAAGTCAACATAAAGTGACGATGAGGCGATCCTGATTGGTACAAATTCCAGGATGTCAGTGGGGTAGTTTGAGCTCTTGTTAGAGTTGGGACAACATTTGAGGAGGCAGAGAAATCCATTTCATTGAGCCGAAACCCCAGAGAAGCATCTGGCTGTGTTTCTAAGTTATAACAGCATTATTCTACCGTTTCCATATTATTTTATATTCAGTACCAGTGAGGGTTTGAACCGCGAGCACTTTGTCGGTAAATGCAGTGATCTGAATGGCCATATCTATTTATCTAAAAAATCAAGCTTGAGCCAAAAAACTATATGACGCAATTACGTTCTGTGGTCCGTATGAAGGGCTTTATTAACAACAGGTAACTCCAAAATATATTCTCAACACACAAATTATTTGCACAGATTTCACGTGGCCAGTGTGTAAAGCCCTGAACTTTGTCTTGATTGGCCGCTTCTCATAAATAGAAGATCTGAAGAACTCTTGCTTAAAATATCCCCATATAATAGTTCGAACAGCCAAAATAGTTCCAGTTCAATGTCTACAAGGCAAAGAAACAGACACGAACAGTTGAAACCCTTGAATACAGGATCAGTTTCCTGATAATTGAATGGAAAAACTTAAAAAAGTGAATTTTAGCCAAACTCCAATGCTCATATCACCCCATGTAGGATACTTGGCTAGTCAAAGCAAGTTGTAGCATGTGAAAGGTCTTCTTTTTGCCCTACATTTAAATATCAGGCTCATCTTGTATCTGTGATTCCTCCAGTATGAATCTAATTTTCAGGGCAGGATATAGAAATAATCATGCTGGAACTAAGTGGAAAATTACTTTTGCTGTAGTTTAACAAAGCCTCAGTGTTTCCATGTGAATATCCTGTATGCAGGAAAGAATAATTAAAATGAGCCACATTTCAACCTAGTATAGTATCCTTCCTAGTACGCATCCTTTCCTAATGTGAAAGTAAAAATTTACATTAAATATACTAAAAAATAACTGAACAAAAAAATCCAGCAGATTCTGAGGGGGTTAGATTTGATGACTTGTCATTCTTTTTTAAAATTCTTCTTTTAAGTACTTAAAAGAAGAATTAAACAGTACTTTTGACTCTGAAGACTTGAAACCAAACCTCAGGCTATAATTAATCTCATTTAAACATATGCTTCTCCTCCCATCCCTATCTCATGGCCTACAGAAGACCACCTGAATTTCAATGAGTTGACTTTGGGAAAGGGAAAAAAAAAATCAGACCAACAGGGCACCTGGTGATAAGAACAGGTGGCCTGCAGCAGCCCTTGGTGATATTGCCATTATAAACCATATGAGGACACATGGACACACAATGAATACATAAATTCGGAGTCCAGTCCCCTCAGCAGGCAGGAAAGAGGAGGGGGAAATAAAAAAAAAAAAATTAAAAAAAAACAAGATGTAGGTTCTTTCAGCAGTTTCAAAAACATACAGTCACTCATACACACACAAATAAACAGATGCACATACACACACTGTAATACACAAGCAGCAACAGACACACACACAGGCCTAAACCCTCATCAAAGGCTTCACTCTGGTCTCCATTCAGGGTCTATCGTTACTATAGCGACCGGCTTGCTGGGAGAAGCTCTTTAGAGCGCCCTATCTGGGCTGCTTCCCTTAAAGCGTGATGCAGATCCCATTTCCATCTCCTTACACCATTGACTGATGCTAGCATACAAATAAAACAAAGGGAAACACTGGCTGACTGACAATTAGCCCGGCCTTCCAAAGGATGAGGGGGCTCCTGCTCATTAGCTCGGAGATACTGGAGGAACCTGACGGTCTAAGCTCAGGGCCTATCACCTAAATCCCTCGGTTTTAGCTCGCTCATAACCATAGAAACCACATCTTAATTGAGATTATCGCAGGGAGGGGAGTAAGGGATGTAAGCCGAGGTTATTCTGTTTCGATCTGTGTTATTAGGCACATTTTTCCTTAAATAGATTGCTTGGAAAACGGTTCTCCCAAATCTTGGCAATTTGACCAACATACATCTAAAATTTCAACGTTATTTTTCTCCAAAAACACAGCCGGTAATCTCACATTCCTGTGGCATTCATAGCACACACCTGAGCTCTAAGTTTACAATTACTCAAGAAGGCCCTTCTTGAGTAATCATGCTTCCACAAAACTCTCTTATTTTATTTCATTTTTTTATACATGCGGTTGCAAAGCTATTTACAGAGCCACATGGCAACTCGGCACAAAGCACAGTGTCAGAAAAATGATGGTGATTCTGCCTTTCTCCCTCCGAGAAATGCCCAAACTGTGTAAAAGCAGAACAACAACCCGTAAACTGCAAATCCCTGGACAAGAGGTTCACGCTCCTGCACAAGCAGCCATGCTAGCATCTGTTCATCTAACATCGAAAACAGTGGACAATCTACAAAAACTTAAATAAGTGGTTACTTACGTGTACCGACAGTCCTGGGTGGCTACTCTTTGTGTCTTTAAAAACAAGAACCGCTAAACATGAAAGCAGAAAAACTGCAAAAATACAAGTACACAGCTAAAGCTAGCAGGTCCACTAGAACCTCCTACCCTAATCCTCTTCTCCATAAAAATATTATTTTATCTATAGACAATGGATGGATTAAACGTTTTAAGTTATAATGTTAAGGGTCTCTATAGCACCACTGCAGGAAACACTCCTGAAAAAAAGTCCTGGGCAGAAAAAGTGTATTTTTTCTCACATTAATCAGGAAGAAAAATAGGTGTAGCTATACTCATCCACAGACAAGTTAATTTTACAGAAACTCTGAGGGAAGATAACATTTTATTGAACGGATTAATTGACAGATGGGAGGTATGCCTTGTCAACATATATGGTCCCAGTGAGGATGACCTAGGCTCTGTCAAACATGTATTTAAAATGAATATCAGCTATAGCTCAGGCCTGTTGCTGATGAGGGAAGATTTTCATTGTGTGATGTCTCAATCATTAGACTGGTAACCAACCTCTAGGGCTCCCCTATCACAGGTAAGTAGAATATGCTTGAATATTAAGCTACAGAAGCAGGCCTGGTGGATGTCTGAAGGTCTAAGTTTCCTAAAAGGAGTTTCACGTTTTACCCAAGTAGACACTGTTCCTACACTAGAACAGACTTATTTTTCACCTCACAAGTAGAGATATATAGAATTAAAAATGTTGAGATACTCCCAATTAGGGATTGAACATACTCGATGTATCGCAAGTTTTTCTACGCACGATGGTTAAAATGGCTTTATCGTAACCATCGAGTATAAATTGCCATGGCAATATTAAGCTGTCTGCATGTAATTCACTATGAGGTTTTTTCTCCCTCCCACATGCCACGAACGGATAATTTAAAAAAAAAAAACATTGAATGGCTGATTTGAATGAGTATACCAGTGCAATTTTAGGCACTATATGGTTTAAAATAACATTTGTTTTTGGAGGTTATTTAAACATATCGTGATATATATCGTGTATCGTGATGTAGCCATAAAATATCATATTAGATTTTTCTCATATTGACCAGCCCTAATCCCAATCACATTGTCAGACCATTCCCCACTAGTACTTCTAGTGCATTCTTCTAAATGCATCCCTTCTGAATGATAAAGATTTCACTTCTTTCGTAGCACCAGAGTATTCAACATACATGGCAGTAAATGACACTCTAGTAATGTCTTCCCTTATAGTTTGAGATTGCATAAAATCATACCTTGATAGAGATGGTGTTACCTAGATGGAGGTTTTGAACAATGTGACAGGTTGTAATGAATCCTGAATAAACATTAAGATTATTGATGTTCAGCATTTTCCATACCTTCCTCCTGTTTCTACCTGTCATACAGCTAGTAGTAGGTTTAATCTCATCTCACCTGTCTCGGAGACGCTCTGGGTACAGCTTCCATCACCACCTCCGTGTGGAATCACCATGTTAGTCCGTCCCATGCTATGAAGCTGTGAGGGGTGGGGGCCAGGATGCGATAGTGGTGGGGGGTTAGTGTTTGGGCGCCCCAGCGCTATGCCGTCAGGTCCCACCAGTGTGCCGCCTGGCCCCATAGGCCCACAGTTACTCATGGAGGATGCCTGCATCTGAGCCATCATGTCCGGGAACTGGCCTGGACGTGGGCCCAGGTGGCCCCCAGAAGTGTCGATGTTCTGGCAGTGCTGCAGGGTTTCCCCTGGACCCCGCAGCCTCTGCTGGACAAGGAGGTTCTGCTGAGTGCCACCGGGGACCATGCCCGTACTGTCGTTGTAGTGTAGCGGTGCGACTCCTGAAGCGCCGGATGCCGGTCCGGGATTTAGACCTGGACGATGACCACTGCCTGCCAGGTTGTGAGAACTGTGGCTGCTCATGGACTGAAGAAGCTGGGCCATGGAGGTGTTCGGGTGAAGGTTTCCGAGTCGGCCCACTTTTCGTAGCTGCTCAGTGGCACTGGGGCCCGGCATGTGGTGTCCTCCCAAGCCTGGCTTGCTGAGCATGCTATACACCATGTTGTTGTCATGGTTTACGGCACCGCTCCCGGATGATTGCTTTCGTTTGCGCATGGGATCCCTCTGCTGGGCCATGAGCTTGTCTCTGAGAGCTGCCCGGCCGCTCTGGCCCTCAGGAGTGTTGAGCAGCATGGTGGAGTTTGGCGGGAGCATGGGATTTAAAGTGCTGTGTCCTTCCATGCCTCGAGGGCCGCTAACGGGGCCAGGATGCCCTCCACCCCCTCCATTACCTCCGCCACCTGCCCCCATGCCTGACATACCAACACCACCAGCAGCCATGCCAGTAGTGCTGTTGCCAGCAGCGCTGAGTTTGTTTTGATTTGCTAGCTGTGCTTTGGCTGCGGCTGACAGGAGGCTGCTGGCGGGGAAGGAAGCGGCATTCTGTTGGTTGAGGATCTGGTTGAGGGGCATCCCCAGGAGTCCCGGGTGACCCTTCTGGGAAGCACTGGGCGTGGCCAGAGAAGATGACGAGGAGGAGGAAGAGGTTGGAGAGTACATGGGGTTGCCATGCTGCTGCGCGCCAATTGAATTTGCCATACTGGGCAGCAGCTGGGAGTCTTTGTACTGATGGAGTGCATCGGTTTTGTTGGTGGAGGGGCTGGAGGGCATGGCGGGCCTGGGAGACCCCATAGCTGATCGAGGGGAACGAGGAGGAACCTTTATGGTGCCACACGGGGCCTGATGTCCCGAGGGCATCGCAAAGTTACCGTGGTCAGAGGAGGTGGAGGATGAACGCGAGCGATGAGGGGAGGCCTCTATTCTCCCAAGCGCAGGCCCAGCCATGTGGACAGGTGAGGTAACGGGGGAGGGAGACATGGAGGAAGCCGGACCACCCTGCTGAGTCCTTTGAACATGGCCACCATGACCCACAGGCCCAGGCTTCACTGTGGGTAACGGTAAGTTGCTTGGCAAGGGAACAATGGCAGGAGGGGGTATGTTTACATTCATCACTGGTACCTGAGAGTGGATATTAGGCTGGAAGTTGGAGGGCGTTGGGGCATTGGTGGGAGTCTGGCTGACTGGCTTGTTAGGGATGGGGTCCAGGATGCCTAAGGGGTCCTTTTCAGACGTTAACTGCCTTTTCTGGAGGGCACAGGATGGCGGTATGGATGGAGGGGGCGGTACAGGGTGCACAGGGGGCTGTGTTTTATGGTGAAATGTTGCACGGGGCATATCCATACCAGGGGGGAAGTTCCCCCGCGGCATGTTCATGTTAATGACAGGGCTTTTGGCAGTGGCCGTTGGGGAGAGGGGCGTGCTAGTCCTTCCTGTCATGGCACACGATGGCTGGCCCGCTGGGGAGCCGTGAAGCATCACACTAGGCGGGGAAAGAGGTGTCCTAGTGTTTCCGTGGATAGAGGCTGAGCCAGGGCTACCGCCTCCTGGAAACCCACAAGGATTGGTCCTTGTAAAGCCCTCAGGGCTGCCCAGAGTTTCTGTACTGGGAGACTGCGAGCCATCTCCATAAAGCTTAGCACCAGATGGAGGTGGGCTCAACATGCCTCCATACCCGGACCGGTAAGGGGATTTAGGGCCTGGCTCCCCGCTGCCCAGCCTCTGCAGCCTGGGGTATCCAGGGTAATGCTCTGGCTGCTGGACTCCACCCAACTCCTGGGGTGGATACAGCCTCTGCTGCTGCTGTCCGCCTACCATCATCACCTTGAAAGGGTTCTTACAGTCAGGGCCAACAGAGTTGGGCACGCCATCGTGGGGTTTAGTCCTTATTGCTCGTTGAGTTGTGGAATGCACAGCAACCACGGACGATGTACCTTAAAGAGAAAAGAAAGAAAGAAAGAAAAGGAAAGTCTGAGTTAAACCAGGACCAACAGCTTGGAGAAAACATTAGTCAGAAGAAGAAAGTAACTATTATTCACCTCCATGTGTAGTTTAACTCAAAATGTAGGACTTTAATAGGCTGGCAAGTTATTTACCAAGAGAGCCTTCTTCCTTCTTGGAAATATCGCTAGAAGACAATTCCTAACTCAACGTGATTATGAAACACGTGTGCATTCACTTCAAATGAACCAGATTATTGTGGTGCTCGCTATGCTGGACTCCCTAATAATACAAACTGAGAATAATCTAAAAAGCTCTTAAACACACACCTTTTTAATATTGCATTTGACTGACTTTCAGTAGTACAACTGTAAAGGTGGATTGACCATTAGCAGACACAAAACAGACAGGTAATTTCTTGATTATTTTCATATTACTCTATATCTATTACTTCCAAGTTTGTGTCAATAGATTTCTCTCTGCATCTCCCTCTCTCTTCTTTTGTTTTATACATCTTAAAGTATGATTTATATATGAATAGACAGTAATTTTAAGTATTTATGATTGTCTTTGTTTTCGAGTTCAAATAAAAGTGAGTGGATTTGACAGAATATCACCGAGGGAACGTGAAAGGCCTGAAAACCTCCAAATATTTCATTTGCTTATTTTATATAAGTTCAGCTAGAATTTTGAACTTCTACAATGGATAAATTACTTAACAAACTCACTGATATTTCCCAAAACTAGGACTTAAATTACATCAACACTGTCCTCTTTCATTTGGATTTATAGGAGCTAACTTCCAAGTGTCCTAACAAATGGTTTCAGAGCTGTAACGTATACTCGTACCTCCTCCTGAACTGGTCAGTGCCAGAGGCGGGTGCGTCTCCATGCTCTTGTGCAGTGTGGCCACAGCCAGCAGCTTCCTCTTGTGAATGCAGAGTTTGGTGACATCTTCGTCTGCTTTCACATCCTCCGCTGTCCTCTGTTTGACAGCTGCCCCGGGGTCGAAGTTGAACACCTGAAGAGATAAATAAAAGTGGATAGAAGTCACTGAACTGACTTGGTCAATGTTTTGCTTGTTTACTCACAATCGTCAAAGGAGCTTGCAAAGAAAAGCGTCTGGACTTCTTTAAGTTGCTTGAAGATGTTTCACCTCTCATCCGAGAAGCTTCTTCAGTTCTAAGTAGTTTAAGTTTACTCACAATCTTTTTGCTTAATTAATTTACGTTTTGCACCATGTTTCTGCGCTCTCATGCAATGGCCTTTATTGTTAGCCATTTTAGCCATTCCCCATTTTCTGTCATATATACATATATATCATATACACTGTTAATCAAATTCACCATACCCAGGATGCCTTTTTCATATCTGTCTTTATTTACCAACACATCATCAATCGGGCCAAGCAGTCACACAAAGGTTGAGCACCTCCCCAATGAGAAAAACAGTGAAGTGCACTGGCAGCACAACAACTGGTTTTACAAAGGAAGATAAAACTGATATAGAACGACATAAAGCAGACTGAAACCAGCACAGCTGCTGCAGACAACTCAGCAGACTGCGAGTGAGAGTGAAGCGCATTAAAAGCACCGTGTGAATGTGAGAGAGCTTTAAGTGCTTTGGTCAGTACGACTAAAAAGGTGCTGCTGTAATAATAAAGTTTAGCCTATTTGTATCCAGGACAAAAACCTGACAGCAGAGATCAACCGGGACCTCTATCATTAAGGTTCCAGTCACATTAGAGTAAGCAGTCTTCTTGTGACTAGTAAAAGAGCTAACTTGTCATCCAGGAGTTGAGCATGCAACCTCTGAGCAACCACTTTCAATCTCAAGATCACTATACAGGTCGCTGAGTGGGAAGGCAACCTGTCTTCAAACAATCAGTCCAACTCAGATTGACTGCAATCACCCTCAGATTGGTGAAGGTTTGCAAACATATAATTTATAAACACAGTCCGATTGCCAACATATGCCTGAGTTTCACTTCTGCAGGGAGTCATTGCAGAGCCAGGTTTTTTTTGTTTGTTTGTTTGCTTTTTAACTTCTTCATAAAATTCTAATGTCCATTTCAGTAGTTTCAGCAATCTCCCTGTAGGAACTCCATATTTACACTGATTATTATTCTTTAAACTGAGGTGATGATTGTTTGTCTCATTGATAAATAAAAAACTGTAGCTGAAAATGCACAGGAGGAGCTAACGGTGCAGAACAGGTTGCTCACAATAGTTGTGGGCTGCTTCAATCCAACGCATTTCTTGGGAGATGCAACTCAGGTTACATCGTAGGATTTTCAGTTATGTTGTAAGTTAGGACGTACATTTCCGGCAGAAGTCTAAATACTATAATCAATCTGAGTCAGTCTGCAAAAACGAGTGCAGACTGACAACTACTTCCTGCAATGCAACTCTTTGCAGTAGGGGACTAAATGTAACTGGTTGTATTCCGATTGTATCACTGTATAAAAGAAAGGATGTTGAACACCTATGGCTGCTATAATTTTGTTCATACTGCAGGTCTGATTGTAGCACGAAAGAGTTGTTTTCATTACACTAAAGGTTAATATTTCGAAACTTTTTTTTTTAATGTGAACGACAAACACTGGTGTTTGAGGCTATTCGCAAAGCTAATAAAAGGTCAACAACTGCCCTTGTTTGCTCAGAGGGATCTTTTAGGAATGATGACACCATTTTCCAGAGAAATTACTGGTGAGTGCAAGCTGATTTCATACCTGTTAATGTCAAATCTTAAACAAAGCTTGCCAAGGAGCACCTTAATTCTCCAGCATAGGTTACTATAGTGATGAGAAGTAAACCTTTGTCTTCCTAACACTGAGGTTTCCTCACTACACCCCAAATCCTGCTTCAGAGTGCAGGCCTCAGGTAAAGCCAGCGTGTCACAACAATGCCCAGTCATCCGAGTGTGGCTGGGGAAGAATCTTCAAGGAATCGTCCAAGAAATTCCTGTGAATATCAAATAGTATTTTTCCTTGACATACCTGTGCAAAATCAGTACGCATGAAAAACCCTGCTTAAACAGTCCTCTTAGATCAGTGCACACATAAACATAGATATCCACCCATCCATCCAGTCACCCGTGGGCTTCTAGAGCAACTGCAATTCATTCAAGAGAAAACTGGGATCTCCTGTGATCATGGATTCACAGATAACAGTAAGCTTATTATCACGCTTTGCAACTAATCAGAGCCCCCCACAAAAAAAGGAAAAGAAAAAAAAAAGAAAGAAAAGAAAGCATGCTGTGGGCCCAGAATAAGGATGGTGAGGATCAGTTTTGAGGCTAGGAAGCTGCTTCCCCGAGCCACGTGACCACCCCTGAATATTATGTAAATCACATCCAGGTCTGGCAGCATACTATATTTTCCTCACGCTCATCATCTCTTGGGGCTGTCTTAACAGCACAGGCAGTGATGTACATAGACTAAATCGCAGATAAACATGGAGGCAGCGGCTCTCCCAAGCACCTCATGATATGCGATATGTGATATCCCACATCTTAAGACGGTTAAGATGTAAAAGTGCACTAATGTTTAAGACCAGAAAATGAGTCTTAAAAAATATTTGCATCTTCATTTTCAGATACTAAGAAGACAGCAGGAAGGGGGCGCTCATAAGGGAAGACGTGCAGCTACAAAATCATTCTGATAATGGTGTGGAGTGTTGGGGACAAATTTAGCATCAGGAAGGATAATCGGTCAGATTACCCCGTGTAATGTGACGCCTCACATAACCCCAACATTTGTAGTTTGGTCCTACAGAGATCAGCGGGTCAACTTGGGTTCATTTCATACATCCTGAGTATGAAATAGGAGAGGATTATGCTACAGGAGAGCTTTGCCTGTATACTCTTTTATAATTTCACTCCTGCAATTCACTCTAAGCCACACTGATTTGAGTCTCTGCACACTTTAAAGAATAAAACTTCAGAACCACCATTCAAAGCTGTCAGAGCAGACAATAGAGGCAGTGGTCCTGAAAGGAAACTAGAAGACTCTAAAGTAGAAACTTTGTGACCATACATAACAAAGTAGTTTTTGGAGTTTCTCATCCCGTAGACTCCCAACTCTTCCATTTTGAGCCCAGTGTAGGGGACCACCAAAACAAACGCCTAATTGGCATTATCAGTAAGGAAAACTGGAGAGACTGGATGCTAATGGTTTAGCAGTAAGTGAACTTTCAAAATAAGAGTGTGGGGAGTGTCCACTCTAGGGAGTGGCCTAAAAACTGGTTGCCAACCACCTCACTTATTGCCAATGGCTGCACAAACACCGACACCGTGGTCCAGTGACGAAGTGGAGATGCTTACTTTCGGTTTAGCAGCAGGCACACCATCACCTTTATACCTACAACAGCCTCCATTTTTGTGTTGTTTTTGTTGCATATACAAATGACATGACGGGTCTTTTGGCCGTGTTGCTTTAACAGCCCAAAGCACTGAATTGTAATGGAAAATGACTGAAACCGAGTAGAATCGAGTGGAGAAGGTACTAGTGGAAAAGAGGCATATGTAGCAGTGCTATAGCTCCCCTGGCCGAGCCTCACTCCCCCTGCTTTCCTGTCCATACTGGGTTTATACTGCACTGTAAAATAACGGCCCAAAAAAAATGCCAAAGATGAGATTTAACTTGTAATTTGGTTTAATAGGATAAAACTGACAGTTTGTATAAATAAATGTCATTTTTGCTTATACAGTTTGTGTTTTTCCTTTCTGCATAACAATAACTGAAAACCGTGATGGTGTTACATTAAATCCCTACTGTAAATAAAGGAAACAGCAGTTATCACTGTACACTCAAGTTGCCTGATGATTAGAGCTCTGAAAGGAGCCTGTACAAACAAACACCACACACCAGTTTAAATTTAGGGGTCCTTGTTTAGCCGTAATTTGTGGACAACAGAATTTTAATTTCCGTCGCAGATTGGCTCCTCCATCTTAATCTCTAAATAGCGAATCATCTGGAGCTCAGTTTGGAGCAGCTGTAAAAATCTCACTGTGTTTAATCAGAGCCAAAAGAAAACAAATAAATAAATATACCTTTTGGAGGATGAGTGGGCACTCCAGGCCGCATTTGCAGGTTCCATCTGTCAGCAGGTAGGTCCTCACCTGCTCCAAGCTGGCTAGCACCGAGCCACTGGGACTGCACACAGAGAACAACAACAAGGTGAGGCTGAAGCTGGCAACAATCCACAGCAAAAATGCTCCTTCTGGAAAGCTTACTGAAACACCCGTTTGAAATAAGATTCAACATTTTTAGACTGGAGCTCCTGAACACTGATCTTTAGTGTTAACGTGGAAGAAGAAAAGAAACACGATGGACACAAACTTGATTTTTTCCCCCTTCTCTGAGGCAGGTTAGCAGCTCCTTCAGACTGTTTTTGGATAGCAGTTAGCATGAAATCAACCGCGGAGGAATAATCTCCATCTACATGTATTAAAACACCTGACCTGAACAATATATATGCACTTTACATGAAGACAGAAAATAATTGTCATTTACTTTCTCTTCATTCGTCTTTCCTTAAGGGAAATTGTGAAAATGCGGTTGTCTTAATAATGTACTTCTCCTTTTTTGCTACATTTAGGCATAGTCAGGACAACATGAGCATCATAATGGTAAAGGAAAGGTGATTTAAGTGACGTAATGTGGCAAGGTTATTGGTCTGGGTATTTCAGAAACCATCACTAGAGTTTAGAGAAGATGACCTAAAAAAGAAAAATTATCCAGTGAGCGGCATTTCTCTGGGAGAAAATATCTTGTTGATGTCAGAGGTCAGAGGAGAAAGGCCAGACTTTTTCAAGCTCACAGGAAGGTAGCAGTAACTCAAACAACTACTCATTACAACCCAAATGTGCAGAAGAGCATCTCTGAATATGGACCAAATTCTCCAGTACCTTGTTTAATCTATGACATGAAGCATTCTGGCAGTTCTGGAGGCACACATTATGCAAAGTGTATCTAATACTTCAGTACACTTCTGTGAGCCATTTTGTGTACAGAAGCTACGCAATCAAGGACTTTTATTGTGAAAGGATGGAACACATGCACAGGACAAATTGGGTTTCTGGGTGATAATTGTTTTTAATATAGTCCTAATATGCCTTTGTATCTTTACACCGGTTAAAGAAAGGAGAAACTTAGACATATAGGTTATTATGCAATGTTCTTACTAGTCACGGCAGCTTGAGATAAAATTAGCCTGCATGTGGCCCATGTAATAATAAAAGGAGTCTGACACCCCTGGATGAAACATTAGAACGAGCTTTAACCAAAGACAGATATAAAAGGGGTCTCTATGCACTCGAAGGCTGGCACAAAGAAACTACCTCTAAAGAAGAACAGTATGTACCGCTGGTAGTTCCTATCAAACATATACAGTGGCTGGTTGACAAACCAGCCAAAGACTGAATCATCAATCACTGTGGCTGTGAAAAAGAATGAAAAAAAAATCAACTGTGAGGATCATCCCTGAAGCAAAAGCATGCTTTCAAATGTAAAAGAACATCAGCAAATACAAGTGTGCTGTGACAGTATCAGGCCACGGTCACAGACAGGATTCTTTCCAACACCCAAAATAAACCTGACACCAGCCAACTGCTTCGGTTTATTGTGGTTGGTGAGCGCACGTGCCGGGAAGGACACCAAGTCACAGCCTACAAGGATTCGACTCATCGGAGGAGACCGACGAGGAGCAGTCGCTTTGTTAGTAGGGGTGCAACGATACT